CCTTTTCGAAGTCGATGAAGTTGAGGTAGATGTTTGACTGCCATTCTATGCTTTATTCTATGAAGACGCTCACAGCTGAAACTTGTTCATCAGACGATTTGCCTTTCTTGAATCCAGCTTGTTCCGGTTGTGTGGCGGAGTTCTGTATCCATTGCACCCTTTATTCTCTCCAGGAAGATGCGACTTAGTATTTTACTTGGAATGGATAAGAGGATGATTCCAAGCCAGTTCTTGCAGAGTGAGGCATAAGTTGCCCTTCTTTGGTAGCTTGACAAGGTAGCCTTCCTTGCAGTTGGCAGGCACCTTCATTCCTTTCTAAACTTTTTGCAGTAATGGTATGAGCACATCTGCGGCAGCCTCTGGGTCCGTTTTCAGTGGGAATTCCGTCTGGTCTTACTTCTTTCCCGACTGGCGTTCAGTAGCTTCATCGCATTCAAGATTTCCGCGTTCTTTGGAGGATTGGTGTCCACTGGCAGGCACTTCTGTGTGTGTTGTTGATGATGGTGTTTTTCTGGGAGAGTTGCTGGTGATGGCCGATTCAAGAATTCTTTGAAGTGATCAGCTAGCTGTTTAATTTTTCTCTTCTCCTAGATAATCAGTATCGCCTAACCATCTTTCATTTTTCATCTGCATTGATCTTCTCCCGCACAGAGACCTGGTTATGTGATGTAATGTCCCCAGGTATCTTTCATCTGTGGCCTGTTCAGCTTCATTTGCCAATGTGTCTTAGAATTGTCTTTTGTCTTTCCTAGCACTCTTCTTTGCTGCTTTATTCAATATGCAGTGTAAACTGGGCTCAGCTTCTCCTTCTGTTGTCCATCTTTGCATTGAGTTATCTTCTCTTTCACGATCCTCCTACTTTCCATTAGCTTTCAGGTATCCAATGAGAGCCATTCCTTGTCGTGTCTCATCTTTATTGCTAGAACAGTTGTACACGTTTCTTTAAATATCGCTTTCAGAGAGTTCCAATGTTCTTCCATGCAGGTTTCCTCAGTAATGCTAAGTGGTGCCTTCGACTTTGCTCTGGTCTGATCTGTGGTGAAGGTACCTTTTGTAGTTGCTTCTGTTGCTGAATGCTAAACTTGAATTACAGTAGCCTGCCTCTAGTTGTTCTGAAGGCTTTCAGCTTCACCATGAAGGTATGGCTTATTGAAGATGTTTCCGATTATTATGCTATAGTACATATACGTTTTCACGTTCTAATATGCACTAAAACTGTAAACGGTCAACAACGAACAACATTGTATTAAGAAGCACAAGTGAAAACTGAAAAAGATGTATTGCTAACGAAATCGAATTCCATAAAGCTCGAGGTGAACGAAAAAGTGAGTGACCACGTGAAATATATATATACATGTATATATATATATATATATATAACAAACGAAAGGTGTTGTGCTGCTCTATTTTGACTAAACTAGCGTACACGTACATCTTAGTACTTCTTCGCGTTTATAATTGTGTCCTAACGTTGCGATTACTCGACATCCACAACATAATTCAAAAGGCACTTGCGAAGGAATACGATAGTGTATTATTGCAGCAATAAAATTCAAAAATCGAGCGAGTACAAAAGTATCAATTGTTAACATGCAAGATTTAGAGTAATAAACAAATCAAAGTCCAATTACATAGTGAAAGTATACTGCGATGATGAGTAATAAAACGGGTCACTACAAAGGCAGTATTCAATAATACAATGGCGAATATTCAACAAGCATATGTAAAATTAGTTTCTGTAAGCGTATAACACGCGTACACAAATTACTTTTATAAGCGTACAGTTAAGCTTAATATAGGGCACCCCACCGAAATATTAAATAATACATTTAAGTGTTCGACACTAATCTGATTTTGCTTAATAAAGAGTAGCGATATTGCATAGAAACCTGTTAGTGTATCAAGCTGAAAGGTACACAACTTAATCCAGTTTTGAAAAAAAGTGAATGTACAGATATTAATATTAATAATAAAATGAACTAGGGAAAACTGGACTGGCAATCGCAACAGAAAATATGTGGAATGATGAAAATCAGCAGGTGATCTGTTGTCTACATATGAAAATGATATATAAGTAGTAAACATTACACGATTAAGTGCAATTATGCAAAAAAGCGTCAATGTTTAGATATTAGCAATGTGAACTATATATGAAATAGTTATATGTTGGTTCTGAATAAAGACAGTAAAAATAAAAATTCACAATAAGTTAAGTAGTAATAATTCTAACGTAACTTTTATGCCAATGAACTCTCCTGCTAGATCACTTTGTTTTTATGGATTGTTCTGTTGGCTTTGGAGTTTTAGTGACTGAAAGTGTTAGCATGTCATTCAGTTGGTCTTTATCGTCGTCTTGGATGTCGTCGATAAACGTTAGATGGACTGCATCACTACTGATGGCTTCTGCTTTATTCGATCGTTCTACAGTGATAACTTTGTCATTCCTCTATAGAACTCTGAATGGACCATAGTAAACAGGATGAAGTGGTCATTGTACACCATCCCTCGTGACGAAAACGTGAGTGCAGTTTGTCAGATGTATGATGGTCGTTGCTGCTAGTGTGAAAATGATATTTTCAGCTCATTCATATGTTGCTTTAGTAGATGCACGTAGTCAGTCATATCGCTTGGAACTTGGTTATCCCGGTAACCTTAGTGTTGCCCCATAGACTAACTTGGAATGAAAAGCAGCATCCGATGTCTTTCTTTAAATTTCTTCATATACCAAGTAGTACCATTGGCAATTTAGCGGACTAGTCGTTTTCGGTCAGAGAGGCAGCAAGTGCAGTCTTAAGTTGCCGATGAAATCATCCAATCATCCCATTTGAAATAGAGTGATACCAGGTCGTTCGTATTCTTTTAACTCCCAATAATTCGGTGATATGTTGAAAAAGACGGCTTCCGAACTGTGCACCTCTATCCGTAGTAATACTGGACGGAAGACCAAAGTTTGCTATTCAGTTTTCGACCAGAGTTTCAGCAACCATTTCGGCGGATACGTCTGCTGGTGGAACTACTGCTGACCAACGAGTGAATCCATCAATGTAAGTGAAAATGTAGGTGAAACCATTGGAAGGAGGCAGTAGACCAATGACATCCATATGTATGTGTTCAAATCGACAGTTAGGACTAGGGAAATGTCCAAATGGCGCGTTGGTGTGACGATGAATCTTGACCCGTTGACAAGACAAACAATTTCGCCTCCACTTTTTAGCATCACTGTTAATGCTTGGGCATATAAACCTTTCTCTTAGCAGCTTGGTAACAGCATAGACTCCGGGATGTGGGATATTATGCAGTTTTCCGAAAATCATGCATCTGATAGCTTTCGGAACAAAGGGTAGATGTATCACAGATTAATTTGGGAACATCGGTGAATCTTAAGGATGTCGTTTTAGAAGACATAGTCTTCTTTAGTTCCCCATCATTCTTTTTTAGTGTTGTGAGATGTTCGTAGTCGATATTGGCGCATACAATTTTGTCAATGTGCATACGTGACAGAGCGTCCGGAACTCCATTATCGCTACACTTCACGTGTCGAATCTCTTAAGAAAATCGGGATACGAATTCAAGATGTCGTAGCTTATGAGGTGACACGTTATCTTGTTTGGCTGACAACGCTTTCGCAAGAGGTCTATGATCCACAAAGACAGTAAAACCTGTACCTTCCAGCATGTGTCTAAAGTGTCTGATGGCCAAATAAACTGCTAGTAACACGCTATAAAAGGTACTATGGCAACAGTGAGTAGGATTCTCGCGTTTTGAAAAGAATGTGAGGGGATGCCATTACCCGTGTAATTGTCCTTGTGACAAATCGTACAGACCACGTGTAATTAAGGGAAACAAACACAAATGTCTCATGTAGTAGCAATTATATCAGCCGTCTATTACTCACACAACCATTCATAAGAATAGATATACTCATGCATTGCAAGATGAAACAACAACACGATAACGGAATTATGTGTATCTAATACCTCGTCAGTTAGGAAGATGCAGAACTTCTACACTAGTTTCTCATCCCTCATCGATCTGTTGTCAGAATTACTACCATTTCAACGTCATATCACTTATTAGTGATAAGTAGTGTAAATTTATATTTCGTCTTCACACTGTCACCTGAACTGTTCGTTCCCATTGCACTACATCTCATTGAGACTGTTGACATTCCATCCTCTTTGTAGTGAGGAATTCTTGCCTCCTGTAATTGTATTGTATCTGGCGAACATGCTTCCTTCTGCCTCCCTTACGGAGGCACTCACTCAAATTCCTATTTATTTGCTCCATACATTCACGAATTCCGTATTTCTTACAGTCGATCTCTGCGACGCAACTTTGTTTTTCTTCTTTCTGATTTACATGGGCACTGTCTTCCATTTCCGTTAGTCGAGTCAACCAGGTGTTATAGGTTTGTTTTTTTCTACTAATCATTTATATCGATTAGTAGCCTGGCGTTCACTAGTCAAATCATCTATCGTGGACTCCACTCATAGCTCATTCGTTTGCTCTACATTATCGAAAGTTTGAATGGCCACCCTCTGTTTGGATTTCTCCGAAAACCTACACAGATTCGAAGACAATACCTCCAAAATTGTTCATTCCCTATATGACAACATCCTCATTCCAATGCTGAAACAGAACACCTTGTCGATAAGAAAATGGACGAAACGATGTGAGAGGAAGTGTATAAGGCATACAAGAATTGCTTCAAGCATGCATTTCATGTGAGTATGAGTGTGTGTCTGTGCAGCTTATTCGGATAAATGCAGATCGATTGTCGTCTATGCGGAAGAATGACTCGTAGGAAGAGAATATAGAGTGAACGCCAACACACCTTTCGAGAGTGTTTGATATGTGTTATCGAATAAACCTACGTTGAGATGGGGGGGGGCTATCTCCTCAACACCACCGTGATACGCATGACGTGAAGATTGTCGGTGCATCGACAAACGAGCAACCAGCTTCTCAATTTCATTTCGAAAATCAAGAACAAGGAGAAAAAACAAGTCAAATCGTTTATTTAAACTAAACTAAACTAAACTAAAATCTACATCTACTCAGTCTCGTCGAAAATTGAACGGCGAATATTCATCCATCTGGAAGAGAAATGTCAATTGTGAGACGGCAAATAATAATATTCAACAATATCTGACTGAAAGGATACGAATTGGTGTGTGTGAAATGGTTAGTCGTATGTACAGGCGGGACTACAGATATGCAGACTGACCAGTCAGATCAACGAAACACTGGGAAACACAGTCATTCAATACTATCAAGCTATCTCAGCAATAATAATACAACTAGTGCGAAAATTATGAGGAAATCTCATTAGACCGTCGAATCATTCAGCAATTCAACCACCAATCAAACTCACTCAGTCATCACGTTTACTTCGACTGAATGCAAAATTTGTTTCTCGATGTGCATGACTGGGTGATTGATACCTGGGCATGGTAACAGTTATCTGTAAACTAGAATGGATGAACATTGCCAACATCAGCCGCGAGTGAGCATCAACCTAAGTACAATAGTGTGTAATGCGTTCCGATGAGTATCTGACCACGTCACCTCAATATTATGATGTACTCAGTCACTCGCTAGTCATTCAGATACATCAAAGTGATTGAGAGAAATGCCTGATCACTAGATTCAGCTACATATTCATAGTATCTAGGAATCGACAGGGAATTTCGACAACTGGCAATTAGAGAATCTGCCTTAGCAAAACGTGGTCAGTCAGTCAGTCAAAGAATGCACTTGGAATGTGGGGATAATGAGCTTGCATGATATCTCAGTCATCACAAAGGCAATCGAACGATTTCTCATAATCCGAGTAGAGTGAGTGGACAACACGACTGCTAATGTCAGATATTTTTGATTCAGCCTCACAATATGGAGGAGTATGTACGTAGAGCTTAACTAGTTCTCCATTCTCACTTATTCATGTATCAACCAGCTTTCTTTTCCAACACCACACCTTCCTCCCGAGTATGTATCAGGTATCTGACAATAAATACTCAATGCAAGGAATTCGATATTTCGGGAGGTCGCATCAGTCAATGCATTTTGTATGGGAATCATCGTAAAAGTGATGTGTGCACTGCACACGCGCACACACACACATAGAAGAGTGAATTGGAAAGTTCTTTCACGATCTGCAAATTGATGCCCCATTGCACAAAATAGAACGGCTTTAATGTGAGCAGGTAAAATTGACTCTCATCACATACCAGTCAATCCGGAATTTCACTAGGATTGCTGTCCACGATTCAATGATTCTGGAAAACAATATGATGCGATTTATAGTGGCGCGATGATAGGTGTGTGAAACTGACTGATTTGCGTATACTTTCACACTCCACCCACCATCTCACTTCACTCCAACATTGACATCAGTGAATACAACTCAGTTCTCTTAGTAGGGAGCGAACAGTCGAACAGAATGGCAGTGTGGCAGTTGTACCACGCATTACAGAGACCTCATTCGAAACACTGAATATGCGTGATATCACGTCTGCTCTGAGCTGAGGAATGCATCCTAACCATTGGTTGGCGTTGAGTCGGATTTTGTTACTTGAAGATCGCTACAGCCTTCCCAATGAAATCGTCAGTTTGACAATGAATGCGTACACTAACTGGAGTGCTGCTTGTCCCACCGACTGTCTTTTCCATTATTCATGGCAGATGATATTCAGTTAAGAGTTGATGTGATTGACGCAGATCGAGACGTGTGGATCACCTCGAGAGTGTGAAGCATCTTAAAATCATCATCATCATCATCGTATAAGATGCTTCACATTGATTCGAGCAACACACTTCCCAAAATGAATAACTCACCTCTAAGTCTTCCGAGCCATTCGTAAAGCTCAGCAACTAAACGATGTTGGATAAAAGGAGAGAAATACTTCATTTGGTGCAGAGCGAAACTTAATACATAGAAAAGCCATTATCCAAGGTATTCCGACTGAGTTTTCTACAGTGCTAAACAGGATTGTGGATGACATTGTAGGTGTGACTGGATGACAGTGCTTGATTCCGCGTCTGTCATATAGCTCAGATGGCACTATGCACTGAAATAATATTGTCGAGTGAACGGAGTCAGTTATCGCTGTTACCTCGTGATTTCGAGACATCATTCGGTGTGTAAGTCAAGCTGTCATCTGTTGTATACTCTGACCGCTGGTATCTCAATACTTTACAACACTTCATCTGAAATTTTGGTTGAATAGCGAAATTTACGTTCACTAGTATCAACCGTGAAGTGTGAATTCGGTTCACAAATATAGATGAATTAAAGGCAGTACTGCACACAAACACTGTTGATTTGTGTTCTCGATTTTGTGCAATGACTGATCGCAGAAAACACCAAATGATTCTACGCCAATATAAACAACTCTAACTTTGTTTACCCGACTCATTGATATTCACATTTGGTGCATCCACCAGCCAAAGGACATGCAAAAAACGTCGTATCTCGTCGTGATACATGTGCTGCAGTCGCATGCTTCGAGTGTACACAGTGTTGAAATCGATTCGATTTCAACGAGTGACTTCTTTGATGGTGAGCATACATTGACATTCTGATATTCACTCCTATTTTTAACACTAGCTGCATCTACAGACATGATGCTTACATTGACCCGTGAGAAGATTTCAGTCGTGCCGAAAATCATTCCAACTGAAATGCATCAGTCACTGAATCAACCGCCACAGACAATCAGTGTGAACACTAACCGGATCAACAGAAATATTCATTCATCGCAAACAAATCTGGTATTTCTAATAAACGTGCTCACCATCTTCAGCTTCCACTGTTTCTCCCTCCATTTCATCTGAAATACATTCAAATGGAAGTGACAAATTTCAGGCACAATAGATACAATCCACAGAAAGTATATAGTATGCATCAATTAGACATATAAGCAATGTGGAAATTTTGTCGCTAGTTATTTCTTCAACTCGTGATGAGTTTAGAAGCTTACATGAAATTGAAATATCCTCTGAGAATGTGTCTATGCAGTGAATGACATCCTTTCAATTATACTATCAAGCCTACAGAACACAACTACAACAACGTCATCCACCTGAGCTACAAATCGTCTCCATTATAACTAGAAACTGATTACAATGACAGTGTGACCGTCGATTGATCGGCAGATATCTTTGTCGAAACAGCACACCACACTAAGCTTCTATATGCAACAACTCATCTTCGAATCATCCAGCTTCAACACTTACTTCATTCTGTGTATACAGATTCAAATATGCATGACTGCATGCATGTCTACATGAATCCTCGTCCACTTCAAGTAGTATGAGGGTTAGAGCGACCTCTTGAAGAATAAAATCAATAAAATACTTGAAACCAACACACACATGATGTGATGCATCCTCCCATCAAAATGACCTAATCTACAAGTCATCGATGCTTCAACACTAATGTCTTTACTTGAATATTTATGAGTCAGACACACACAAACCATGCAAACTGCATCGCATATCAACTCAACGGTAATCTAGTAATCGAATATTACATACAGTGGAATATGTTAACTCACCACTTTCGTGTGTTTCACTCAAATTCATTTCTGCTTCGTAAATAAACATGTAAGCGAAACAACATAAATACTGCATATCGTGAATGATACAGTCAATGACGCATTATTAATGTATGAAACATCACCTCATGTGTGACCACACAAAGCCTACATCAGACACAATGTTTATTAACGAAGCAAGCAGCTGATGATGGAGACATTCACTGGCTCATGGCTTGATGGAGCAAGCAAGCACCAGTGAAATCTCTTTGGGTGAAACAATGAGAAATTTTCATCACACTCTGGCTAATAAAATGTGATGTGAACAACTCACGGTATATCCTGTTCATCGAGTTTCTCCATTCTTGAGTCAAATGGACATGAAGGAGAGATATGGAGACAGAAAGAGAGAGAGATGGAGTGAAAGAATATGAGAGATGGAACCGAATGTGAATGTCCCCAAACAGATCCATATGAAAACGGTGTGTGTGCGTTTGTGTGTGTGTGTGTGACACAAAGGAAATTGACGTATTTGACAAAGTGAGGCAATCGTTTGGAAATCATTCGAGTTGTCCGGAAGTACATACTGTGTAGACAGAATGAGATGACTGGACAACCGTATGAAGCTTGACTGCAATTATGGTTGGGCAGTGCAATCATTTCATCAGTGGCCTACTGAAACCAATAGGCCACCTATATCTCCGTCCAATATAATGCGTCGAACTCTGTCCATTTCTTGTTGCTTAACTCTTTCAGATACCTCCCTGAGTTGTAAATCGCGCTTTCAACACACTGATGTGCATTTGCCAAGAGTCAATGGGTGAAGAGGAGATATCTTGAGAGATTGCTCCGTTCTCCAGATGGAATAACACTTTGTCATGCGATGCACTATGGACAAGTGTTTTACTGGTGGATCGTGAACCCAGAGAATATACTGTATATATATATATATATATATATATATATATATATATAATGTGCAATCAATAACTCTGAGAATGCAATACATTGTGTGTGAACACATTTCGTTCAGAATAAGCTGTCATTATTATTGCGATTATTCTTACTATCCTTCGTATTCTTCTTAGTATTATTGTGATTATTGCTGTTATCATCAACACTATTATTGTTGTTGTTGTTATAATAATAATTATTGTGAACTGAGAAACACCCAAGGCATTCGAATCACACGAATCAGACAAAAAAGCCACATTTCAATGTGAAAATGTGTTTTCTTTTTTGGTTGAGATATTACTGTGGTGAATGTGAAATACACAACAGTAATCAGTGTGTGCGAATGGATGGATGCTTATGTCACCCGATTTTACATTACTACTACTATATGCAGACGTTGCACTGACCGCCTCCATCTAGCTAAGTCACTCCATCCCATCAATTGTGCGTTAAAAAAAAGAAGAACAGAACGCAAGTGAATCATCACAAACTGTTAATTAATTAGTTGTGTGGAATGCAAATGAAATGGTCGGCATGTGTGACGCTTCACTTCACTTCACATATCATATCAATGCTAAATGGAAGGAGTAGAGATGGGAAGTGTGGAATTCATATTCATCATCAAATGAGGATAAGCCATGTTCAAGTATTAACCGATATGCTTATGCTTAGATCACAGAGGAAAGCTCTCTGTCATCTGGTTAAATCTACTTCATGTGATCACACTGATGAATATGAATAGAGTGGAGTGCAGTTTTCATCATCATCATCACCTCACTGGATGTTTCGTTTACGATTCATCTTGGATGGACGCTATTCAGTTTGGTAAACCCCCTGCCAGTCTGTTTCATCGTTGTCAGTCGATGAGAATTAATCCTCAGTGGATGCTAGGGCACCAGATCCATGAACAAGAAGAAGAATAGGATGAAGAGTAGGACGAGGAGGAGGAGAAAGAACAGAACAGAACTCACCGGTAAAATTAAATCCATGTGTGTTGGAGGTTTCTGAAATATTCAAAAAAGATTTATCATTCAATGAAAGGTTAAAAACACATTGATCGGTGTTAGTCTTATGTGATAGACCAGTAAACTCACCACCTTTGCTGATTGTGGGTGTAGCGGAGACTTCTGAAAGAGTAGGAGAGTATTTTTATTCATAAGGATTTGGAATTAGTGGAAGTACATAGACTTCCCGTGGTTGTTAATGTTGTTGTGTTAGTGGTGTGCTTGAAACACACACCAGTTGTTAATCAGTCACCACTATGTGTTACACAAACCACCACTGTGCCCAGTCTCCACTGTTACAGTAGTCGAAATGCTCTTCAACGATAACCAACGTTGATGGATAACACATTGAACTAAACACGAATGTCTTTGAGAATGTAGCATCATCCGCTGTCTTGTTCGTTTGAAACCTGTAGCCAGTATATTAACGAGGAATTCAAGACATCTGTAACACTTGGCTGTAATTCAATAGACCGATTCACACTGCCAAGTAAGTGTGGAAAAAATTTCTTGTGAAGATATTGATGGACAAAGAAAATTTGTACTATAGGCAGATGCCATATTTCCATCACAAATTGTCCTCTCACATCCGCTGTGATACTATTTACACACGGGCATAAATTCGCTCATTCCAATGAAAAGGAATCAGCAAACACTCAACTCGATATTTAACAAGTCAGTTATGACGGGAGACTACATGTCGATTCCTCAAAATCATATTTGACATATTTGACAACGAATTCGTCAATGAATTCGGAATACTGTCATGAAGAGCGACATCTCCTCCTAAAAATACTTCCGATTCAACCTAAAGCAGACAAAATAAATAAAATAAATAGATAAAATATACACCCTCTTCTCCTGTCTAAATATATCTGACATGGATTTGTGTGAAGTGTAGGGAAGCTGTTTGGGATGGAGTGATTAGTGGAAGGGTGAACAGCAGTAACAACAGCAGCAACAACAACAACAAAAACAACAACAAAAACAATAACTAAAACTACAACACCAAAAACAACTCACCATTGATTGTGACCACAGACAAAGACAAGAGAAGAATCGTGCAATGCATTTTCATTCTATTGATGTGACTTAACACTGAAAACTGGCTGTTTATATACACTTCTGTTATGCCTGGTGTGCCAATTGAATTTCACGATAAACTAGACTCATTCAATGATTGGCTGAACTAATATGTTTTCGACTGCCACCTCCCCAGCATAATGATAATGCTACATCAGAGAATCCCCCTCCCCCTCCCCTCACTAGACACCCACACATACATTCACATCGAAATTTAACAAACACGCATATTGGAATAGGGATCGTGTGTTATTTCAAAGTGAGAAGAGTAGTCAGATTAGACAACTGAAACGAAACTCTTGAGGTGCCATGAAGGTACATTTGTTCGTCTCAAATAAAATAATTCTTAACGCCGAGAACTTAGTCACGAAGAATGCATCCCTTCAATATTTCCACTCAAAGCATTGTCAGGATTCCGAGTGTTGTACCCAATACTTGTCTACTGCATGTCTAATACTTGAATGATCATATACTACAAACAACCAGATCCACCAGAAACGATGTATTGTTATTTGAAGGAGGACTGTCTACCTAGGAGAGTAATAGGAAAAAAAATAATCACATAACAAAATATGTGGAGAGAAAAGTCTCTTAGTCTGTGCAATGTGTCTGTAGGTGTGCGTGTGTGATTGAGGCGGATTGAGTCAGTACGAATATCGACTGGCAGTGAACTATCGACACTCACCGTCATGTCATCTGATTATTCAGTAGGGAGAGTTGTAATATTAGGAATCCTCAAAGATTGCATAGGAAGGCAGGGGGAGAGCGAAAGAGAGAGTATTAGGGTTACGGTGATGGCTGGCGTGCATATTCAGTTAACTTTGTTACCCCATTCCATAGGATAAAGAATCAGAGAGGGTGGAACATTATTGAAGACATCTGTCTCATGAGCAGAACAGGTGGGTTTATGTATCATGCTGACTATGCAGTTGATGAGTAGTCTTACCATATTCATTCAAACATACCTTTAAAAGCACGCACCGATTTCATGTTGGACAAGGTAGATGTATGTATACGCGAGTAGAACATCAACCTCAACTCCGACATAGTTGTAGGTCAAATGCAACATTTACTGCGACGGTCAACTCCATATACATGTAGTTAGTTCGCCTATTGGCAAGCATCTCGGACAGTGTTCAACAAATTGGCGATGCGAGACACGGGTCACTGGGTTTGCAATATTTCGACGAGCATGGACGGTAAGCCTGTGCATGAAGAAGCAGTCGGTCGGTCGATCAGTCAGTCGACCAGTCAATCTCTGTCAGTTTCACCAATAGAGATACACTTGACTATGCATATTCACCAATATCAAAGAGATTGGTAGGGGAGTGAGTCACACAGACTAACAGTTGAGGATTTCGGTGAAAGAGATGGCCATCTTAATATATGTGTAAAACTTGGGCACTGTGGTAGTAAGTAATTCCATATTAGTTTGTTTATTAGGTATATCACACAGTGAAACAGTATTATTTACTGGATGACGTTTCGAACAAAATTTATTGTTCATAATCATATCAATTATAATCACACGACTTTGACACTTGAATTTTATAGTTTTCTTTGTTCTCTCCTATTTGTCGTTTGGGTAGTAGAATTTTCCAGATATCGGGGACAGGTGATGAATCATTCCTATTACATGTATTTGTAGTTGATTCGATAAACAAAGATTCTGTTATCAATCTCTCTCTATACCCTGTGACATTAGATTTTAAAACTGTCATCCTGTCCCATCCTATTGTATGGTTGTGTGTGACTGCATGTAGTGCTATAGCTGAACTATTCTCTAGATTTCTTATCTTATTCGGGTCAACCAATCTAGATTTTGCTAAGTTTTTATGTTCAGCTAGTCTGACTGCCCCTGTCCTACTAGTTTGACCTATGTATTTGACCTGACAATCATTGCAGGGTATTAGATAAACTAAATTGTTTCGTTTTAAAGGCTCTACAGGATCCTTTAACCGACAAAGCTTGTTTCTAATTGAGTTTGTGGGTTTGAATGCCGTTTTTATTCCTGCCTTGTTAGGAATTCTGCGTAAGGCTTCCGAGGTTCCTTCCTTGTATGGAATTACTACTGATGATTTAGATTCTTTATTGTTGGTGTCGTCATTAATATTATTATTATTATCACCCCCACCCCAAAAGTATGGTGGAGGTACGTAGGCCATCTTGTCAGACATATTCAATACTTAAAGTCCACTTCCCAGTATTCGACAGAAACAATATGAAGAGCACCACACAGAATGCATCACTCACATTTAACTCAGCATTCCTTCGCCAGTCGAATGCGACGCTTACGTAATTTGGCGTTTGTACAATAGAAGAGGATTTCCAGTACACACATATCCCCCCTAGTACACTTCACCGACTCAAGGACATGATTCTCCTTTCACTTGAAATTCATGCGAGATGCCTTCATCAAAACTCATGGTCTCTCAGTCTCACACACTACACCCAATGTAACATTGTTGTTATATGCTTTCCAAT